AGGGCCCCAACATCGGTCACGCGGAAGAGCCCTCGCGTGACCGATGTTGAGCCCCTCTTTGGGCTCCTCTTGGAGCTCCAAGAGGGGTCCAAGATGGCCCCGCGAGGGCCCCGAGGGAGCCCCACGTGGGCCCAAGGAGGCCCAAGGAACCCCAAGATGGCCCCAACATCGGTCACGCGGAAGAGCTCTCGCGTGACCGATGTTGGGCCCCCTCTTTGGGCTCCTCTCGGTGCTCCGAGAGGAGCCCAAGATGGCCCCGCGAGGGCCCCGTCGAGACCCCGAGAGGGCCCAAGGAGGCCCAATAGGGCCCCAAGAGGGCCCCAACATCGGTCACGCGAAAGAGCTCTCGCGTGACCGATGTTGGGCCCCTCTATGGGCTCCTCTTGGAGCTCCGAGAGGAGCCCGAGGTGGCCCCACGAGGGTCCCGACGAGCCCCAAGAGAGCCCAAGAGGGCCCCAAGAGCGCCCCAACATCTCCTCTCCTTCCTCCTCCTCCCTCCTCTGCATCTTCCTCCTCCTCCTTCTCCTCCTCCTCCTCCTCCTCCTCCTTCTCCTCTCCAGGGGAATGAAAAACCAGAGGGTAGCTCGCGGAGAGCCCAAGCACCCTCTTGTTGCATCCATCTTGGCTTCCAGATGGAGCCCAAGAAGGCCCCAAGGAGGCCCCATCAAGAGGCCCCAGGAGACCCCAGACGTCCAAGGACGCCCCCAAGACGCTTCGCGTCACCAATTTCTTCTCGCAACGATTCCTGGATCTGTGGCTCGACAGAACCTAAGCGCGCGCGAAGCGCGCGCGTGGTTCTAGCCACAGATGCGGGGGAAGGTTGGGGGGATTTCTTTCGTTGCGAGAAGCTCGAGGACATGGGGAACACGCGCAAAGAGTAGTTGTAGAGAGGCCTCGCGCCGAAGAGAGGCACGGGCAAATACAAGGGCAAGAGCAATGCAGGACGGGCCGAGGGCCCAGAATAGGGGCAACGCAGATCGAGCCAAGTACCACCCCATCCACGGGATGGGAAGTTGCATGTGTTATGCAAGAATGTGCGGCTCAGTGGCCCACGTAGACTTGCAGAGCTGATCGGTGAATTAACGGCTTCAGACTGGGGCATTTTCATGTTCAGCGAAACCCTCGCGGGAAGTCAAACAGTGGAGTTGGAGGGTGGGCATCGTCTATATATGCGCCGTGGAGATTATTCGGCGTCGGGCGTGGGCGCATTGATGCGCGCGCGGTTGGTTGGCAGCATTTGTTCAACGCATGTTGTTTATGATCGAGTGCCCCGCGTTGATTTGCAGCTCGCTCCACGGAGGGCTTCTTATTTTGCATTGTTTATCCACCTCATGCGGGATGTCCCGCTGAAGCTTTTGACCAGGTGCACGAGCAAGTGCACCAGGCGCTGACAGAAGCAGTTCGAGACGGAAATGCAGTCGTGGTGGGGGGCGATTTAAATTCGCAGTGGGGATTTGGAGTGCGTGGCCAGAAGATGGCTGAGACGGCAGCCGCTTTCAGCGTGAAGGTCGTCAATGGTGATGGGAATGGTCGTGATGGGCACAGTTGGACCATTAAGAGTAGTCTGGGGCAGGTGCGGAGGATTGGCTTCATTCTTACACCTTCGTACCTGCGCGCGTCGACTTGGAGCGCGTCAGGACATGTGGACTTGGGGTCAGATCGCCGCGCTGCGCGCGCGGAGCTCGTCGCTGGGGGGATCTCGCGCCGGCGAGCCAAGGGGGCGAGATCATCGGTGCGAGGGTGGACCACTTTCGCAGACTACGCTCTTTTCCAGAAGGCCCCGGGCAAGAAACTCACAAACCATGCGCCGTCTTCGTTAATCGGAGCAGATGCGATACTTTTCGACCCAGCTGTAGCTCATGGAGAGGGTGCGCGCAGCAAGCGACGACGGTTCAACGACCAGCCGCGGGACTCACCTCACTTTCAGGACCTCCTCCAACAGAGGCGCCAGACACGCGACCCCCAGCAGCGCAGAGAGCTTTCTAAACAGATCCGGAAACATCTCCGCAGGGAGACGAGAAAACAGACAAGTCAACGATTCCAACTCATCCTCGACGAGTTCATCGAGCTCGACCGAATCAGCGACGCAAGAAAACTACGGGCAACATGTTATTCTGAAGTTGGATCTGGCGCGCAAGCAGGGCCATATGTTTTTGCCACCTATCTGGGATGGATCTTCAGGACTGGGTGGGCGTACTCACCTGGGTCAGCATCTGCATATCTACAATCTATAACGGACGGCTGCTCTACGATAATACGCCCTTCTACAATGTGGGAGCTTCGGCGTGCACTGAAACCGATGAAACTCCAGAAGGATATCAGACGAGTTTGGGGTCGCCGCGGACATGTTCAAAGCGTCTTCAGGTAAGTTCTTGGGCCTTCTACTTGACCTGTTCAATAAGGTGTCACAGGGGGGCGTGCTTGGCCCGACCTGGAGAGAGACAGTATTTTCGATGCCACCGAAGAATGGTGACCTGAGACTTCCGCAGAACTGGAGGCCCGTCGCAAAGCTAAGAATATCATGCGAACTCTTCGCACGTCTGTTGTACCGCCGCCTTCGTGGGGCGCTGGACGTAAAAGATCGGTGGGTGACGCCTCCATTGTATCCGAGACTGTCTGTGGCAAGTGCTTGGAATGGAATGTGCCTGTGTGGCGTTTAAGTTTGGACTTGCGCACGGCCTTCAATCGAATCGAATTCCAGCCGCTGCTCGATTCGCTCCGGAACCAAGGCGCGGGGGACGAGTACATCGCCATGCTGTCCGTCACCCATGCAAACCAACGCGGGCGAGTTTGCGGTTCTGGTCGTTTCGAGATGCAGCGAGGCGCCAAGCAATGCGACATCCTGAGCCCGCTGCTTTTCAATGCGGGGGCCGAAGCAGCACTTCGCACACGGAAGACCAGGATCATCGGGAAAGGAGTTCGAGTTGATGAAGGGGGCGCCATAGCAAACATCAGATGCGCGGGCGACATCATGATTTTCGCGGCACCGCGGGCGGACCTCATCAAAATTGCCACGGCGCTCAAAGAGGGACTTACGAAAGTCGGTCTCAACCTTGGCGCCGGAAGGGCCAAGGTACTTACGACAGCATGCGACATCAATTTGTTTGCGTTGGTCATCGGGGGCGAGCCCGTGGACGTCCTAAACGGCGACATGGCCCACAAATATTTGGGGGGGAAGCTGCGCGGCAACCTCCTTCCGAGGAGTCATCTTGAGTTTGGCCGCTGGGTTCAAATCGCATGGATGAGATTTCATCAGCAATGTGACGTTCTAGCGGACAAGCAGTTGAATATATACTCCCGGATCAAGTTCTTCGACGCAGTAATCACTCCAACGATATTGTTCGGCCTTTCGTCTTGTGCAATGACGCGGACACAAATTGGCTCATTGCATGTGCTTCAGCGGAGGATGCTTCGACACATCGTTGGGCGGGTTCGTGCGGAAGGTGAGCCGCGGGACGAAAAACGCGGAGGGCGAGGCTGGAAGTGAATGCTGCTCTAACAATTTACCCAATGGAAGACTGAAGCGTCCAGTTGCTACGACGGCACTAAATGCTGGCTCATCGCGTTGGCACAATGTCGAACAGCTGCCCTGCAAGAGTATCGCGCTAGCACCCACCTGCAACGTGTCCTGAGGCTGGACGATCACGCGGACGACCCGCTGTGAGATGGGACGACTATCGCGCAGATTTGCAAGGGGGTATTATTGAAACGAGTGGTATGAAGTGAGTGCGGACAATTCTTTTCACGAGCACGGAGAGGATTTCGTGCGTTTTTCCTCCGGGCTCCAAGAGTGAGGCTCGAGGTTTAACACAGTCGCGCCCGATTCTGGGCCGAGCGTTAGCTCGATCGGACTGCCTGCCTGCGCCTTGGAGCCCTACTGCTCTATGGCCCTAGAGCCCTATAGCTCTATAGCTCTATAGTTCCATAGCCCTACAGCCCTATAGTCCAATAGCCCTATAGCCCTGTAGCGCTATATCCCTGTAGCCCTATAGCCCTGAAGCGGTATAGCCCTATAGCCCCATAGCCCTATAATTGTATGCACCTATAGCCCCATAGCCCCATCGGACTGTGCCCCTATAGCATTATAGTCCTACGGTCGTACAGCCCTGTAGCCCCATAGCCCCATCGACTCAGAACCCTCTGGCCCTATAGCCCCATAGCCCCAGAACCCCATAGCCCCATGGCCCTATAACCCTACAGTCCTATAGCCCTACAGCCCTATAGCCCTATCGCCCTATAGACCTATAGTACTATGGTCATATAGCCCTATAGTTCCATAGCCCCATCGCCCTATCGCCCAATAGCCGCACAGCCCTATAGCCCTCAAAAGACTTTGGTTGGGGCTTTTCTCCGGTACCATTCGAAAATGTAAAAGAGTAGAAGGAGCGAGGAGACAATCATGAGACGCACAGTGGCAGGATAACGGTTTGCTGCAGCCACCCTTGTAGATTGCCATTGGCGCAGTCGCCTTGCAGCAACGGTTGGTTCCGTCGGGGCTTCCTGGGACCTGCTGGGCGTCTTCGGGCCGTCGTTCGGGTGAGTGGGTGATGCGATATGTGGTGCGGTCCAGATACCGTCTGTGAGGTCTCGGGGCTGCTTCCAGTGCAGTCATAGGGCGTCCGCGGGCCGTGCGTGGGCAATCCTGGCGTTTCTCCAGAGGGGGGTGCTTCCAGGCCCTCTGGTACATTGTCCGAGGCGGCCCAGGTGCCGTTCAGTGGGTTGCTGGGCGCGATCCTGAGCGGTCAAATGTGCGGCCAACCACATGCGAGCGAGAAGCCCAACAAAAGTTGAAGCTACATGTTCGGGCTCCCGAGGCTCTGTATGAGAGCTTCTTGTGAGCCTTTCGGGGGGGGGCTTCTTCGAGCCCGCATCCTCGGGGGTTATCGGGGCTCTATTAGGTGAATGTTGGCCATCTGGGAAGTTGTAGGGCCGTCTGAAAGAGCCTTCGGGTCACTGGGTGCAGTGTTCATGCGGTTCGGGGGCGCTTCGGCTTGCCTCAGGGCTCAGAGCAGCGCTGGCAGGAGCAAGGGATGGTGATGTCCTGCGACGTGCTACCAATTGTGTGTGGGTGGGGTGTCATCAAGCGCCAGAGGGCACGAAGGCGATCGTGTCAGAAGCATGCCATCTCTCATAGCCCACCTGTGCGCCCGATTCAAATCTTGCGGCCTGCTGGTTGCGGCCTACGGTCAATGGTGCGTGCTTGGCCCTGCAAGTGAAAGAGCAGGGTTCACAGCGGATCTCAGTGGAAGTACCTACCATCGTTTGCAGATCGGGAGCAGGCAGGTGGATCTGTTGAGCGGGTGAAGCGGTGATACGTTCACTGCAGGTATACCAAATCCATCTGCTTGCGGCAAGTCCCGCCACCGCGTCAGCCCAGCGTTCTGGGCAGCGATTGTTCAAGAGGGTACGGGAGGCCGTTACGTGTGACACTTCGTGTCGATAGGTTTGAGAGACCCGCGATGTTGATGATGATGATGATGTTGATGCTGATGCTGATGATGATGATGATGCTGATGATGAGATGATGTTGCTGATGGTGATGGTGGTGATGATGATGAGGAGGATATTAATGGTTATGGTGCTGGTAAAGGTGGTAGTGTTGGTGCTGATGATTATGAGGATAGGGATGGTACGGATGAGGTTGAGAATGAGGATGACGATGCTGCTCATCATGATGATGATACTGATGATGATGATGATGATGATGGTGGTGGTGGTGGTGGGGATGGTGGTTGTGATGTTAATGATAATGCTGATGCTGATGGCGAAGATGATGGTGGTAATGATGAGGATGCCGATGATGCTGGCGTCGATTGTGATGATGATGAGCATGATGTGGATGCGGCTGCGGATGATAATGCGGATGTGGAATCGGATGAGGATGTTGATATTGATGAGGTTTCCGCTGTTGATGTTTCTGATGATGATGTTGATGGTGATGATAGTCAGGCGGAGGCGGAGGCGGAGGAAGAGGATGAACATAAGGATGCGGATGCGGATGATGGTGGTAATGATGGTTATGTTGTTGATGGTGGTGATGAGGTCGCTGCTGATAGCTGGTGATGGCGATGGTGATGATGCTGGTGATGATGCTGATGATGATGACGAGAATGGTGAGGATGACGATGGCGATGAAGACGATGGTGATGATGCTGATGCCGAAGATGATGATGAGTATGATGATGGGAACACGGATGATGATGCAGATGATGAGAATGATGATGTTAACAACGATGTTGATCGCGATGATGCTGGTGATGTTGATACTGGTGCTTATGCGGATGCTGGTGGTGATGCTAAGGTTGATGATGATGCTGAGGATGCGGATGATGATGAGGGGGAGAAAGAGGAGGAGGATGTTTATGATGATGATGGTGAGCAGGAGGATGGTGATGATGACGAAGCTGAATATGATGATGATGATGCTGGCGATGATGTTGATGATGATACTGGTGAGGATGACGATGACGACGAATACGATGGTGATGATGATGATGATGCTGATGATGATGATGATGCCGAAGATGATGATACAGCGACTTGTCGGCATGTGTGGCAACACCGCGGCCGTATTCCCTTGCTCAAGTTCTAAAGGAACGCAAGCATTCATTCTTTGCGCGGGTCAACGCCGACCTCACAGTGCCCTCTCCGCTGCCATCACCGTACGCGGCAGCTCGACGCCCTCCTCCGATTGCGTCTGCTCTCCTGCGCTGGCCTGCCCAGCGGTGGAGTGCCGCTGCTCGACTGGCAAGGCTCGCTGGCTTCTGCCCAGCCGTCAGGCTGGTCAATCGAGTTCGCGGTCGTGCTTGTGGTGGGTGGCTTCGCGTACGGCAGCGTCGATGGCGGCTACTGGTTCAAGAGCTCGCTGACGGCCCCCGTGGTGCAGCCTGCACCCGCTCCAGCATCGCTTCAGGAGGCCGCGGACACTCGACCTCGCGAGCGCGGCGACTACCCAGGCGAGGAAGTTCCGCCTTTAGGCGGAATGGCCGCTCGCACCGCTGGACAGTTCCACTACTTCTGGTACAACGTCGGGGCGGCCGCTCTCCTCCACGAGAGACTCACTCTGCTGCCTGGGTACATCCTTACCCCTGACGATGACGTATATGCTGAGAGCGACGCGGCAGGTGGTGACTTGAGAGCTGTGCGTGACTCGGCGGGCCAGGGCGTCGCGATTGTAGGCGTCGCCGCCAACGAGCTCGACAAGTTCTGGCGGCTGCCGTCGGCAGCCGTCGCCTGGGCTGCTGCGCGGAGCTGCGTCGCCCAGGGCCATGGGCCTCTGGCGCCTTCGCCCTTCATCCTCGAGCTCAGCGCCGACAACGTGTTGGGCGTCTCGAAGGGGGTCCCGGCCGTGTTCGACCCGCTCGGAGCGGCCCCCGCCGCCGCAGCGCCTGGCGCCCCGGCCTTGGCTGGCGCGGCCGCGCCCCCCGCGGGCGCCCCTGGGCCGCCTGCCGCGTCTGCCGCTACGCCTGTGAGCGGGCTGGGCGCGCTGGCCGCGGCGCTCGGTGCGGGGGGGGCCGCCCTGCCTGCCGCCGCTGGCCCTCCGGGCGTCGGCGCCGCCGCCGCGGCCCCCGCGACCCCAGGCGCCGCAGGGTCTGATCCCCGCGTGCTGGCCACCGACCTCGACGCGCGGGGGGTGCGGGACATGCTTGTCAGGGGCGCTGTCAAGCGCCAGACCGAGACCCCCCGCGCCGACTGGCCCGTGAAGGGCCTGACGACCACGATGCGGGTGCTCCACTTCGTGCTCCCCATGGCGGACGGGGCGACGTCGTGGCTCAACCGCTGGGTGGCCATGAAGCAGGCCTCAGAGTCGGACGACGCCGACAGGCTGTACGAGACGCTGTGCCGTGTCGTCGAGACCTTGCGCTGCCACGACCAGCTGATCATCTGCGGGCCGTCTTCCTACGAGTTCTTATCGCGGCAGCTGCTGATGGTGGAGGGGCGCTTCTTTGAGGAGCGGGCGCGCAGGACCCACCCTGGGCCCAAGCCCATGGGCCAGGCCAAGGACGGCGCCGCGGCCGCGGCCGCCGACGTCTCCTCCGAGGTTGGCCACTTCCTCGGCACTGGAGAGACGTTGGGCAATTTGTGTATTCTCCCACCCGTAATGGATGCGTTTGCTGAGCAGATGAAGAGTGAGGCTACCGTTGCGAAGGAATGCCGCAAGGCTCGCGAGGAGCGGGCCTTGCAGCCATGACGTTCCCGAAGGACGCTGGTCGGGGGGGGCCTCGCGACGCGCCACCTGCTCGTGAGCCTGGCCAGCTTGGCCCCGAGCCCGTCGAGGCCCCACCTGGCCTGGAGTTGCCCACGCGAGGTGACCATCGCCAGCGAGACGTTTTTCCGCTTCCTTTTCTTCCAGTGGATGGGCGTCGCCATCTTCCGCTTGGTCGTGGGGCTCGTCTGCGCGCCGCCAAAGGCGCGGGCTGGAGAGAGTGGTGCAACGAGGGGTTGTCTGCTCTCAACTGGCTCCACTGCGGCAAGGGCGAGCCTCCCATGCCTGACGAAGGGGGGCCACCGCCCGCGGCCCAGGCAGCCGCTGTGGACTACATCGCGGGCCTGCACCGCGACTTCGAGCTGCCCGCCGCCTACTCGGAGAGAGGCCGCGATTGCGAAGCATCCCTCGTAGAGATGCTCGCACAGGCACCTGGCTACGCTGGTGACAGCGGTCGAGTGCGCCCCTGCAGCGCGCCGCTTGTGGCCTGGCCCGAGTCGACGAAGGCAGTCTCCACCTGCGGCGTCGTCTCCGAGGCCGACTCCATCGTGCTGCAGGATTGGAGGCAGAGTATGCTGAATCCCGAGTCAGTGGCGGCGGAGCTGCGCGATTCGCTGGGGGTCATCCGCCCTTATGTCGATCCTGAGCTGCGCTTTAAGCCGAAGTCCTACGCTGAGTTTTTGAAGCAGCTGGAGGCCCACGGCATGATCTCCTGGCGGGTCTCCAGCGAACAGGCATCCTTCTCTACTGGTCTCTTCTTCGTGCAGAAATCAAACGGCAAGCTGAGGTTGGTGTTCGACACCAGGCTGGCCAATTGCAGTTTCTCCTGCCCACCAGCCACTCGTCTCCCCACGCCCAGCGCGCGGGCCAGCCTTGACTGCGACGACAGTTTTCATTTCGCGCAGGGCGACATTCAGTGTGCTTTTTATCATTTACGTCTGCCAGCTGGCATGGAGTCGCTGTTCTCTCTGCCTCCGATGAACAACAGATTCGTCGGCCCCAAGTCGGTCAACGGGGTTCGTCTTGGCATCAACGACTGCGTCCAGCCTCTTGTCACGGTCGTCCCCATGGGATGGAGTTGGGCCCTTCACTTGTGCCAGAGTGCGCTGACGAGAGCCCTGTCGGACGTCGGGTTCGGCCGCGACGATATGATTCTGGATGGGGGCTGCCCGCGGCCCTTGGTCGCTGAGAAGGACGCGGTGTGTGCAGGATGCGTTGACAACTTCTGTGTCGTATCCAAGTGTGCCGAGACAGCCACGTCCCTGGCGCATGCCGTTGCTGACCTTCTCACGGCCCGCGGGCTGCCTGTCTTGGAATTCTCCCCTGCGGTCAGTAAGGGGGTATTCACGGGCTTGGAGATCGACGGAGCCTCTGGGATCATTCGTGTTCGTCCTGACCGCCTCGTTCGCACTCGTCAAGCCGTTCTCGGGCTTTTGAAGCGTGGGCGGGCCTCTGATGGGGCCCTCAGCGTGCTCGTAGGCCACTGTACTTGGGGGATGATCCTGAGGCGCGACGTTCTGAGCATCTTTAACGCGGTCTATCGGTTCATGGGGGCTGTGGGGCCTCATCCTGGACCCCTGTGGCCCTCGGTCGTCAGGGAGTTGTCGGCTGCCGTGGCCCTCATCCCGCTCTGGAGTGCCTCTACGAGGTCTCGCTGGTATTCGCGGGTCTATGCTTCTGATGCGTCGCCGTGCGGGAAGGGCGTCTGTGTCAAGGAGGTCTCCCCCGCGCTGTCGTCCGAGGTCGGCCGAGTCGCCGAACGCTGGAGATATCGTCATGGGGTGCCGTGCTTGCCAGATCACATGCCCTTGACGTCGGCGGTCGTGACGATGCTGCCGACGGTTGCCGTGCCGACGCATCGTTTACTGCCTCTACTGCTTCGTCGTCTGGGCCCAGTGGGTTCCTCGAGGTCCCTGAGTCCATCTGCGGGGCCGAGGGTTGGAAGACCATGCACTCTAGCCGTCATGCCCGCCGTGGCTGCGATGTCCTTCAGTACGAGGCGGAGGCCCTGGGGTTCAGCGTCCATCATGCCTCGAGGGCCCTGGGTGCTCATCATCATCGCGTCGCCTGTGTCGTGGACAATTTGGCTCTAGCTCTGTCGCTCGGCAAGGGGCGGTCTGGGGGCCGACATCTTCTCCGCGCCCTGCGGCGGATCGCTGGCGCGGCCCTCGCCTGCGGCCTGCGCCTGCTCGCGCGGTGGGTGCCGTCAGAGAGGAATGTCGCGGACAAGCCGTCGAGGGAAGGTTTCTTCGTCGGCCCTAGCTTCGAGGACGTCGGGTCGCACCTCGTCGCGCGCCGCCCGCGGATCTCCCAAGGAGGTGGTCAAGGCGGCGAGGGCCAGGCGGGAACATCCTGGTCCGCTGACGCTTCTGCGGGGCGGACTGTCGGTGCTGGAGGCCAACGCGGTCTCGGAGTCGACGGGCAAGAACTACCACGCCTCCGCCCTCAGGTTTCTGAACTGGTGCCTCTGGACCGCCAGGGACTTCAAGAGCAGCGTCGAGCTCGACGCGATCCTCGTGGTGTTCTTCGTCCACCTCTTCCTCGACGGGTACGACAGTGCGACGGGCCGCGTCGCGATGGCCTCTCTGAAGCACCATCTGCCGTCGATGCTGATGGGCAGCCGCCCGCTGCCACGGGCCTTTCGGGCCCTTCAGGGTTGGACGAAGCTCGTGCCGCCGCAGATGAGGCTGCCGCTGCCGAGGGTCGCGATGTTCGCCATCGTGGGCGTGCTGCTGTCTCAGGGGCTTTTGTCGCAGGCGGTCTTCGTGAGGATCGCGTTCGACGCGTACCTCCGCCCCAGCGAGGCCTACCGTCTCACGGCGGCCTCCCTGATCGCGCCGAGGTCGGGCGCCACGGAGGGCCACCAGCACTGGGCTCTGTTGGTGAACGACGCGGCGAGCGGGAGGCCTGGCAAGACGGGGGTCACCGACGAGAGCGCCATCGTCGACGATCCTCTCCTCTGGCCTCTCCTCGAGGCGCTTCGGCAAGGACGCCGCGCGGAGGAGAGCCTCTGGGCCTTCACGCCGCACCAGCTGCGGCGCGCTTTCGCGGAGGCCCTGGTCCAGCTCGGGATCTCCGACCAGCAGACCTCCCTCTCCTCGCTGCGCCACGGGGGGGCCTCCGACGACCTCCTCTCGGGTCGCCGCACGAGGAAGGAGGTCAAGGACCGCGGCAGGTGGAGGACGGACCAGTCTCTGAACAGGTACGCCAAGCGGGCGCGCATGCAGCAGCGGCTGGGTCAGCTCGACCCTGCGCTGGTCGACTTCGGGCAGAAGGTCGAGAGCGATCTGCTGGGCCTGATGGACGTGATCGCGAGGGCGGGCATCTTCTCGCTGCCGCTGCCGCCCCTGAGGCCGGTGTCGGCGGCGGCGCCGGTGCAGGCGCCTCCCGCGATGACCGACAAGTGGCTCTTCGTGTGAGGCGCCTGTGGCTACGTGCGCGGGCGCATGCCACCGTGATGCCGTACCTCATCATGCTCTGCACCTGTGTCCCCGACCGAGTTCGGCGAGTGTGCGAGGCCCGCGGGCTCGGCACCGCTGCTGCGAACGTTGCTCGACATCGCCTCGACGACCTCGCTGGCCCTCAGGTTCTGAAGTCTCTGACTGGCTGGGTGCGCGCCTCGGCTGTGCTCGGAGTCTGGGCGTCGTTGCCCTGGGACACCTGGGCGCCAGGGGCGTCGCGTGTCCGCAAATTTGATTCTCTGCTGCACGTGAATAGAGCCTCAGAGGCCGCCTGTCGCGCCGTGCGAGTGGCAAACGCGTTGGCTGAATCCACCTTCAAATTGATTGCGGAGTGTATCTTCCGCAGAGTCCCGATCATTTTTATGCACCCTGTGTCGAGCCTCATTTGGAGGCATCCCCGCCTGTCCCCTCTCCTTGCCTCTTCCTCCTCCTGCTCCCTCGATGCGTGCATGTATGCGGGGCGCGTGAGACAGCGACTCCACCTCGTCGGATGGAGCGTGCGGGATCTTGATTGCCTCGCTCGTCGTTGCCTCTGCGCCCATGGCCTCTGTGATCGCACTCTGAGACGTCACCTGGGAGGCCTGGGACGTCCAGCACTGGACGCCGTAGCTCGTGCCTCTGCTAAGGGTCTCCCCTCGGAAGTGGCCATTGCTGGCACTGAAATGATAGTGGCCGAAGCTCGTCATCTGTCCCGCGCCGCGAGATATAAGAAAATGTTTGGTCAATGAGTAATTCGGCTGTGGCCACCTGGGTAGACTAGCGTGTGGTACCGTGTCTGTGCTTCACTGCTGGCGTTTCCCTCGAGGCCGCCCTCCGCCGTTTGCGCAAAGAAGAAACAAGATGGCCCCGAATCGTCCACATACAGCGACTTGTCGGCATTTGTGGCAACACCGCGGCCGTATTCCCTTGCTCAAGTTCTACCCTGGGCCCCCCAACCCACTTGAGCTTTTAATGTTTCTCCGCGTCTGTGCTTCACTGCTGGCGTTTCCCTCGAGGCCGCCCTCCGCCGCTTGCACAAAGAAGAAACAAGATGGCCCCGAATCGTCCACATGATAATGATGATGATGCTGAGGATGCTGATGATGATGCTGATGATGATGATGATGAGGATGCTGATGCTGATGCTGATGATGACAACGATGATGATGCTGATGATGACGGTGAGGATGATGATAATGATTATGATGATGCTGGTGATGGTGATGTTGATGCTGGTGCTGATGCGGATGCTGGTGATGATGCTAAGGCGGGTGATGATGTTGAGGATGCGGGCGGATGATGAGGAGGAGGAAGAGGAGGAGGATACTGATGCTGCTGCTGATGATGATGATGGCGAGGATGATGATGATGCTGATGACGAAGATGCTTATGATGCTGATGATAATGATGATGATGGTGATGGTGATGATGATGATGCTGATGATGATGATGGCGACGATGCTGCTGCTGCTGCTGGTGATGATTATGCTGATAATGCTGATTATTATGATTCTGATGATGGTGATGATGCTGATGATGATGATGATGATGATGATGATGATGGCGGTGGTGGTGGTGATGCTGATTCCGATGATGCCGATGATGCCGACTCTGATCGTGGTGAGGATGCCGATCCGGATGAGGATAAGAATTAGGATAGGGAGGCGGAGGAGCAGGAGGCCGTCACATGCGACACTTTTCGAATTCATTTCTTGTGGAGCTTTCATGGAGCTCATTTGGGCCGTCTTGGGGATCTTGTGGCCGCCTGTGGGGCAGTCTTCCGGGTACCTTGCGGCCGTCCTGGGGTCACCATTTTGGCCGTCCTGGGCCTTCTTGGCCGTATGGGGTGTCCGGTGTCCGTCGTGACGCCATCTTGGTGCCGTCCTCTTCCGTCGTGGGGCTTTCTAAGACTGTCTTGGGCCCGTCTTGGATCCCTCTTGGGCCAGCGCGGGGTTTGCTCTGACCATCTTGGGACCCTCTTGGCGGCCTTTAGGGCCGTCTTGGGGCCACCTTTGAGGCTTCTTGGGCCGTCTCTAGCTGACGGCAGCCGGTAAAGGCGAGAATGCGAATATTATACAAAACCTACAGACGGACATGAGTGGGTTTGGCTTTTTCGGTCCCTGCTGAAGGTCCTCTTGTGGCACTCTTTGTGGCGTATTGGGCCGTCGTGAGGCCATATTCGGCCGCCTTGGGGCCATTTTGGGCCCTCTTCGAGGTATCTTGGGCCATCTTGGTGTCTTTGGTTGCCTGCGTGGCCGTCTGCTCGGAAGCTCGGGATGCATACCCATCGTTTTCAACAAGTGATCGGCCTATTGGTTTTACCAGGGAACGTGGCCTCGGGAGGGAGGGGGATGCATGCGCGAGACTGCGAGTCAAGGGGGGGTAGTGCAGAAGCCCTACCAGACACACCTTGGCATTCTTCCACGCCTCAACGTACCAGGGGGCACGGTCGCGAATATTCGATGCAAGCGCGAGACCCCTTCAGATTCCGACGTTCTGAACTCTCGAACCGCCTTTCTAGAGAAGTGAAGGTCCTGCAGAGTGACACCCACGCGCGTCTTAAACTTGCATCTATGCACATGTGCTCGTCGTCAATCGTACTAGTACCCCTCCAGGTGATCAGTTCTGAGGAGGTAGTGGAAGTGCCCTACGACTTGTACGTCGTGCGAGAAGAAGTACATCTGAAACCTCAAATCGAGCGCATCGTGAAGGATGTGGTCATCCCATATGCTCAAGAGGAGATCGTGGAAGTTCCTGAAGAGAGAGTGTCGACAAGAGTTGTTGAAGTACCGCAGTTCACGACAATCGTGAACCGGCGGCACATCCCCAGTTTCGTCAATGGCACTGGGAAGCCATCACCAGCAGTGACGCGGGAGGCCATGGCTGCGCAGGAAGCCCACGAGGAGCGCTTGTGGGTTGAGGTGAACGAGTTGCGGGTCAAGAACGAGCAACTTGCGGAGCACTGCAGCCAGCAGAAGCTGGAACTCGAGCAGTGCCACGCACGAGTGAACGCGATGGTGGACGATCTGTCCGAAGAGAAGAGAAAGCAGTTCGAGCTATCCGTGAAGCTGAAGGCGGCCAGCGGACACAGCTACGCTGGAATAGTCACGACGGTGGTCAAGCAAGCATATTCCCCGACTGCGCCAGCGGCCTGCGGCGACTCGTGCGCGCCCACTTCGGCGCTCCTGGACCAGGTGCCCCATAGGGGTGCCGCCGCAGCAGCAGATCCCGTCCCGCATGATGCCTGCAGGGCGGACGCCTCCGCCTGAGGCGGCAGCGCGGCTGGGGCGGAGCCGCCAGGCCTGCTCGCCTGGCGAGCATCGGCACGTGCGAGCCTCGAGTGGAGGCGGTCTTTGCCAGGCTGTCGCAAAAGCGACCCTCTCTGCATCAGTGCGCCCCTCCTCCTCCTCTCGTCCCCCTTTCCCCAGCTTCTTTACTTTCTCCGCCCCCTCCCCCCCCTTTCCCTCCCCCCCCCCCGTTCCTTTCTCCTCTCCCACTCCACCCTCTCCCCGTCGCAGCCCCCCCCCCCCCACACTCCCGGTCCCCCGTCTCCTTTCCCCTGCCCGCCCGCCCTGTTTCGTCTCTCCTTCTCTCCTCCTTGCTCCTTGCCACTTCCTTCTCCACCCTCATGCCCCTGCCCTCAGCCCCTGCCACTACCCGTCACACTCCCTTTCCCTTTCCCTGCCACTCCCCTTCCAATCCATTGTGATTCCCTGCCTCCCACCCCCATATTCACACCAATGCCGAATAATCAAGCGGGGGTGGTCACTTGGGGGTCAAGAGCGGGCTGTCCTGTGCGGAGCGTGGGGTGAGCGGATGGCGTTCGGGGGTTGATTGGCGCGGGTGGGGGGAAGAAAGGGCTATTTGGCGCGGTGGTATGTGTGGGGGTGCTTGTCCAAAAACGTGGAATCCATTCGTCCTTCTTGTCTCACTTTTTCTGGTGCGCCAACGGATTACAGAGTTAGCACCCATTCATCTCCGCTCTTGGGCGCTCTCGGGCCTCTCTTGGAGAAGTCTAGGGACGCTCTTGGGGGTCATCTGGGCCCCGGCGGCCCCGTTGGAGCCCTTCACAGGGGTCGCCTTGGAGCTATATTGTGCGATCTTTGAGGAACCTGGTGGCCTCAGAATCATCGGGGGCGGGACGGCGAGAATGCCAAAGCCATCGGAAACAACACTGAATGATTTTGACCTCTTGCGGAAGCACTGCAACACCAGATGTTTGCCCCGTGCAGTTGACCTCTTGGGACCATCTAGATGGGCCTTCATCTGCCATCTTGAGCCATTGTGATGTGCGCTGGGTCGTCTTGGACGCGTCTTGGGGCATCTAGGGGCCATGTAAGGTTTTGATAGGATTTTAGCTTTCCCGTCTTGTCGGTCTTCAGAGCGGCCCACGGCGGCCCACGGGGCACCGCGAGGCGCTCCAGCGATCAGCCCAGGGGAGCCCGAAGAGGGGCTTCTGGGAAGATGCCGTGGCTCCGGGGGCCCGCCTGGGACCGCGTGGAGGGCCTAGATCCCGAAGACGCCGCCGAGAAGGCCCAGATCGGCCCAAGAAGGGCCTAGACTTCCCAGGAGCGTCGAAGAGACCCCCCGGGCGCCCGAAGAGGCCCTCGTGAGAATACTCCAGAGGTCCCCGGCAGGCGACATGCTCGGAATGTTCTGATGCATCTCAGCATTTTCGCCAGGAAGCTGGATACACAGACTGTGGCCCGCTTGGGCGGGAGCTGGATCCACATGTGGCCAGGTGTCTCTCCAGCGCTCGGCCCTTCGTTGGCCGTGTGCGTTGGCCCTCCGGATGCTCCACGTGTGAAGCCAGCCACGTGTGTTTCCAGTTTCCAGGTCGGGTTCCTGCTCGTTTGGTGTTTTGAACGCCCGCAGCAGTCCAAGAGCCCTCCAGCATCGCCCCAAGACGGCGCAACAGGGCCCCGCGAGCCTCTCCAGCAGGCCCTTGAGAGCCCCAAGGCTCAGCGGCGAAATCCGAACCCTAGCCTCGCCGATCAACGATTCAGGCAACTTGATGGGCGGCGGGGATAGGGTTCGGAATTCATCGAACACTTAGCGAAATCTGAACCCTGAACCCTACACCCGCTTCCCATCGATTCAGGAGAATCGATGGTTGGTGGGGGTAGGGTTCGGATGTCGCGCCACCTGGAGGCGTGTCTGTGGGAAAATCCCGAGGCTCCGGGGGGCGCGCCCGGGACCGTCTGGGGGGGGCCCAGAGCCCGAAGGTGCCGCCCACACCGCCAGCACAGGCCTGAGAAGGGCCAAGAGGGCCCCGAGAGCTTCGACGCTGCCCTGAAGGCCCCAGGGGGTCGCAGGAGAATGCCACACATGCCCTGGCAAACAAAACTCCATGATTTTTGTTCGTACATTCTTCCATCCGTGGGGCGGTTCTCGAGCTCGGGGCCTGGAGTGAGAGCTGCCGCAGACTCCGTCGGTTGCTTCTCGCACGTTTGTCCTGCGCAGCAGTGCCACCAGTCCTTTTCGACGGGCCAGCATGCTAATCAGCGGCAACGTTAAAGGGGGGGATAGGGTCAGGGGGGGATGCATCGACCCCCGATCGCCCATTGAACGCCGATGGGGCGCACTGGCCCTGTCCGCCCAGGAGCGTGCGGATTCACCATTGGGGGCCTATATCGCCGGTCTATCGGCAATGTATCGCCGATTCCAGGTCGATGTTTCCCCTGTCGTTGCCCCTCAGCTGCGCACGCCTGTCCCCCGCCTTCGGGCCACCCTCCCGCGCGTAGACAGTTGTCCGTTCCTCGTTGCTTCTAACCCGGGCCTCGTGCCAGGCCCGCCCTTGTACATGGGTGGCGCTCCCCCTTACCCTGAGGGCACCCTGGTGGCTCTCTCGAACGCTCCCTGGGCTTCCGCAGGAGTCTCCCTGCGCGTCCGAGGTGGCTCGAGTGACTTCAAAGCTGTCCGCAGAGCTCACATCAGACGAGGAGAAGTTATCGATAACGGTACCATTCCGTCATTCTCACCTTTTGGGTTTCCTGGGAGACCCTCGTCGCCACGGCTGGATTCGTCTCCAAATGTTGGTCAGAACGCACCCTGGGAGAGGTCCGACGGAGCAGCGGTATCGGTATCTTTTCGCCCCCCATCAAACAGGGGTCCAGCGAAACCCTGGAGCCTCCCAAGACGGCCACAAGGCGCACCGAAAGCATTCCCAATCTATTCCCAACAAGCGAAAAGGAATGACTTTGTTGCGGCTGCTGCTTGACTTTTGCCAAGTTGTACTCTCCGCTTGGAGTGCCCCGAATGGCCCTTGATATGCGTATTCCTCGATCCACGCACACACATATGTATTTAACGGATGGCAAATAACGTAATGTAATGTAATGTAATGGAATGGAATGGAATGCATTGTACTGCAATGCGCTGTAATGTAAGGTCGAGGAATGCGATGTCGTGTAGTGTAGTGTAAGAAATTGTAAAGTATGCATGTATACATGTATGACATGCATACATGTCATACATGCATACACACATAAACACACACATGCACACATGCATGCATACATGCATGTATGTGTGTAGGCATGTCTGTATGCATGTATGTTTAAGTATGCATGTATGCATGCATGCATGCATCTATCTATGTATGGATGTGTGTACGCATGTATGCTTGTACGTTCATACATCTGTATGTGTATATAGATATGTATATCTAAAACTATAGTTGTATGCATTCATGCGTGCATGTATGTATGCATATACATACGCGTATACATGTATGCATGTGTGCGGATATGTCTGCATGTACGTACAGATTATGCGTTCTTTGATGTATGTACGTATGGGTGTGCATGTCTGTAATGCATGTACGTATAGGACACCGGAGAATAACCCCTATCATCGTCTCTGTAGGGCTATAGGGCACTGGGGCTATTGGGCTAAAGGGCCATCGGCCTATAGGTCTACAGGGCTACAGGCTATAGGGCTAAAGGGCCATAGGGCTATAGGGCTATAGGGCTATGGGGATATGGGGCTCTGGGGCTCTGGGGCTATAGGGCCACAGGTATATAGGGCTGTGGGGCCATAGGGCTACCGGACCATAACGGTATGGGGTTATAGGTCTATAGGGCAAAAGGGCTACATCCATATATAACTACATGTCTATAGGGCTATAGGCTATATCAGGATACAGGACGATAGAGGCTGTAAGGCTGTAGGGCTGCAGGACTATATGGCTACAAGGCACCCGGGCACCCGGGTACCTGGTTTGATCGTCGGGTGGTTGTAAGTGGGATAAACGCGTTCATGTAGATTGAACTGAGTTAGCTTGTCATTGATAAATATGGTGAACGATGATGCCATCTTATATGCTTCCACGCTTAGTTGTCAGTATAAATATATGTGTAAGTCACGTAATAGCTTAGATACCTTTGCTAAGTCGATCAGGCCTGCTGTGTCCTCCTTTGTTTGGTAGATTTCCCGAATCTGCTTCTTATCAACAAAACTTATTATTAGTACTATTATTATCATTATCATTATTATTATTATTATTATTATTATTATTATTATTATAATTATTAGTATTATTATTATTGTTGTTATTATTATTATATATACATATGAGTTTAAACGTGTTGCTGTTATGTTTGTTCATGTTTGATATTTTTGATGACTGTAGGAGCGTTTTTTTATGCTCGGGACAGGAATCGCAGGCCCATCCCGCCCAAGCCCGCGGCGGCGGTGCGGCCGCGCCCTTACGCCTGGGGGGAGCCGCCTTCCCCCTCCATCCCTCTTCGCTCCTCCCCTGCCCCCCCATGCCTATCCCCCCCTCGCCCGCCCCCCTCCCGCGGGGGGGCGGGCCGCCTTCCTCTCGCCTCGCCACCCTTCCCCTCCATTCGGCGGCAAACCGCCCCCGCGCCGCGCCCCTGCCCCCCCCCTACCTTGCCCTCCTGCTACGGCTGCCACCTTCGGCGGCCGACCGCACCCCCTTTCCCCCCTTTATTCGGCGGCAGGCCGCCTCATCCCGTCGGCGGCAGACCGCCTCTCCCCCCATCCCTCTTCGGCGGCAAACCGCCTCCCTCATTTCTTTTCCGCTTCCTCATCCCGTTAATTCGGCGGTGGCCCCCCTCCGACCTCCGCCGCCCTCGTCGCGGAGGAGAGAGACGATGAAACGGCGGGGGAAAGGGGGAAACGCGGGGGGGGGGAGGAGGACGAGGAGGACGAGGAGGAGGGGGAGGAGGACAAGGAGAAGGAGGAGGGGGGGGATTTCCGCCGCGCGCCCTCTCTGGCTCGAGCTTCTTTTATGGGTGGCGCG